CATCAACCAATTCTTCACATTAACCATCATGACAATCTCCGTTCATACTTTTAGTCATCTCCGGTTGGAAGGTCCGTTTGAATCAAATAATTCAATACTCATGCAAATTGAATTACATGTGCATTGTTTTCCAGAGGCGTTAAAATTGCGAATAATGCTACATTTACTAAGACTGATTTGCGAAACCGGTATATCAAATGATGTGCCGAACTATCATTATAAGTTGCATAACTCCCTTACTCACAGGCCCACTTAACACCTGACTTCACTTAATCCATAAATTTTGTAATAACTAACATTTAATTCAGCCTTCGATAAGCTTCTACCATAAGATACTACTTACCTGGTCAACATAGAGCAATATGATGGATTTACAGCACATAAACGAGATGACACGTAGTATTATTATGGATCGCAAACATATCTGCGCCCAATAAGTGCTTTTCCTAGGATAGAATACAGTGATGAAAGATCCATCATCTAAAAACCCAGATGGATAAGGTCATTTTTAGGTAAGCTTGATATGCTGATGCTGATGCAGATGCTGATGCAAACCTTTTCTGCTCTCAGTTAGGACCAACACAATAATGTTGCATGCGTACAGCTGATATATTTAACATGTGATGTGATCTCACAGCTCCCACCTGATGTATCACCCCTTTCCTTTTCCGTGAGTTGTAACAAATAGAAAAAGTTTCGTGTAGGCTTGTTTTGGAGAGGAAACTAACAAAAAAAAATCGTGACTATATAAAAGAGAATTCGAATCGCAAATTGGTTGGCGATTATTTGTCATTTAGGACATAATATTAATACTTTGACATGTATATGAATCGACACAAGTTACAAATGTCATCGAGCCATGTTCGCCGGAATTGCTCGTTTCAATGATTATACAATCGGATACGGAGTAAGGAAATTCTAAGATATGTTTAGTCTATCGGACTGTCCAATTGAATGTCATTAAGAAATGTAGATTCTATACGGACTCTTATATTGCGATCGACTTTAATTCATTTACATCGTTGTAGAGTGAATTTATGTTGGTTTTCGTTTATGGGTAGGAAGCAGCTCCGTCTAGCTATCTAATATAAATACTTGTCCTTTCACTTGCTCTCTTGTCAGCCTAGAAAGGAGTAGGCATCTCAGGTCTAGGAGACGACCCACGTCACGCACCAGGGCCCTCGTCCCTCTTTGGATGTACTACATAAATAGATGTCTGAAAAGTAGAGAAAAGAGAATGCAAAGTTTTTTGTAAATAGCCATACAAGTTCTACACGCACCGTTGTGTGGTAAGGTGGGACAAATTTTGAAGCCATTGCTGAGGAAGGAATTGAATAGAATGGGGTCCTCCCAAGAGGGGGAAAAAAAGCCAAAAAGCTCTCATTCATTCCATTGTAGCCCCCTCTCTCTCCGGTCTGTAAACCTCATTCAATTCAACCACGCATTGTATGAGCAAAGGCATTACTACCAGCATCTTGCATGCATGCAGGGGAATGCTCCACTTGCCTCTCTCTCTCTCTCTCTCTCTCTCTCTCTCTCTCTCTCTCTCTCTCTCTCTCTCTCTCTCTCTCTCTCTCTCTCTCTCTAACGCTATCATATAGTATTTCTTAAATAATGTGATTTGTTGATGTATGGTGCGTATAGTATATGTTAGATGCCTGAATCTGTGTAGTTCGGCACAAGGTATCGCCAGTTTGGGTCGCCCGACGTTCTTGTACTTGAAAAAGGGCTCTCGCATGAGGATAAGATATGAACGATTGTTCAGAAGTCACGAAATTCTCGCTCTTAATTGGTGTCGAAATCATCATCTCTTCAAATAGGGTGTGCGCCCTGTTTCGCATGCAGGGAGCCAATATGGGATGTCCACGGATGATGCAGTATGTTATTATGCAGGAATCGGCAAGGTTTGTCCGACCCGAGCAATCTCAAATTGTACACCCTACTGCAATTACTATCGCAATGTAAGAAATTATGAAAAAAACGTATGTGTTCCATGACACTCAAGAATGAATTATACGTATTTTATCATAAGTGTGTTGTTTACATCAAGAGTGGGCATGAGTCCATGGTAGAATTAGGAACCAAACCGAACCGGCCATAGAAATAGGTCTAATTCCAGGTTTTCGCAGTTATTGGTTCCAAAAAGAGTGGAACCGCTACTGTGCAATTCGGTTCCCGATTCCTGGGTTTGAATCAAACTGTAAATTAAAGAACCAGACTGGGAACCAATGAACTGTGATTACATATTTTCGACTTTTTATTATTTACTTTACCTATTCATCTTTTTATGATTAGTTGCTATTAACAAATGTGGATTCTTGTTTTTGCATTCACTTTCATTTTGCTTAACTAAAAACGAAATAAAAAAAAAAGAAATGAAACAAAAAAGAAAGAAATTGGCCGGTTCCGGAGTAGACTCCGGAACCAATTAACACGATAGGTTCTAGGTTTTAGAGTGCACATGTTAAGTTCTAAATTCCAAAAATTAGGGAACTCGGTTCTGATAAGGTAAGTTTCAGATTTCAGTGGAATCTAGACCGATTTTGAAACCGCTCACCTCTAATATACATGATTGGGGTAACTTAATTAAGTTTTTGGATATTTTTTTTAAAATTCAGATATAGCACGTCGTACTCTCCAGTGCTCTCCTAGTTTCTGTCAAAACCCTAATTTCGACCGCACGATTAAAAAAAAAGAAAAAAAGAAAAGGTTGATGCTATTTTGACGAAAACTCTCGTGTATCAGGGGGACGGGGCAGGATCTTCGGGGGGGAGATGAGCGGTCGCGATCGGGTGGGGAGGTGGAGGTGGGGTCCGACCGGGTTTGATTGCGCAGGAGATTCGCGGGCCCCGCCGGTTTTATGGGATGTCCCCCCCACCCATCCCGCGACCGTTGCTGGGTTGCCGTCTGAACCGAACCGAACCGCCGGTTGCAATCGAGTGCCTCCACCTTCCCGATTGAACGGTTAGGATCGGGCCGTTGATGGATGGCCCATGGGCCTCGTGCGTCACTTGACGGCCCAATCCCGACGGGCTTCGTTTGTGGATTCCCTGGGCTTTCGATGCTCTCGGAATAGTGGGACCCACGAGACATTCTCGTCTACTCGAGTCAATCATCGCGTGCTTAGAGTTATGAGGTTTGATTATTTTTTATTTTTTATTTTTTTTTTGAACTTTCAATTCTTATGTTTTGGGGCCATATTTTCTCGAACGCCCTCCGACCACGACTCTGATTGGTGAATTAACTCTGCTCGAATTTAATTCTGGCTAGTTTCGCTTACGGTCGATGTTCGTGATTTCTAAACCACCAATCGGAGGTATGGGTTGAGGAATATATTTCCAATTTTATGTTCTTTGGAGATGATAACACTCTGCTTGCGGCGGTGATTCGACTGGGCAAAAGGGCTATATATCTTCCTCCATCGCTGGTTGGAGGGTGCTTTTGATTGGTGGGATGCATATTTTTACGCACCATCCGCACCAAACTTAACTAAATGTAATCGTGAGTGATGTTCATAGTTCGTAACCCAATAATCAAGAGATGTTGGTGGAGGATTTCTCCAAAGTGGAGGATAACGCCTTCCTTGGACAACCTATCCAAAACATGAGATGGACACAACAAATTCATTGTTCTTTGTTTGATCATCATCTTAGATTCTAGCCCAAAGAAATTAAAATAATACGTTCGTCTAACATTAAATTAAGTAGCATTACCTTCACTAACAAAAAGATTTTAATTATTAGATGAAACTACGGCTCACTATTTATAAAACCTAACATGGTGTACCATATAAAGCAAAAAAAGAGAGGAAGAGGCAGCACCAAGGCCCGTTCGTTTAAAAAAAATGTTTTCGCAATTTGTTTTTTGACTCTCTAGTATTTGGACGACGGAAAGTTAATCGATCGATGGAAAACGTTTTCATGAACCGAAAACGACAAGCTTAGATTGGGGGAAAATGACTTCCTCTCCTAATAAGAAAGAATTCACTTTTCCCTAAACCACCAAAAAGAATGAAATTTAAGCATTTTCCTCAAAAATGATTTTCATGGAAAATGTTATCCTTCATCTTGCAATTCTCAGCGAAACAAATGCACCCTAAGCATCTTTTTTCGCTTCTGTCGGCATAAACCCTAACGCAGCGAAAACGATATCGGGCAACAATACAATCGCGACACTAAGGAAAATTTTGTTGCTCAAGAGTGCTTATGTAAACGCTAATATAATGTGTTACCTGAGCGGCGGTCTAAGGCAACCAAGACGCAAATGTTGCATTAGGCGATGTCATTACTCATTAGACGACACAACCAAGGCCGCGTTCGTAGGTATGGTAAGTGACAAATACTATAATTTCATTACCTATAAAAAAGTAACGAAGAAAATATTGATAGAATTGTTTCGAACGAGGCTCAAAGATTCGATTGGTTAATATTAAGGCTCCCGGTTTCCTTCTTTTTTATATTCGTGATTAGAAATTGTAAAATTGGATGAAAAGGAAAATCATTGGCCTAGTGATTAGTCATGCTAGTCATTCAATCTCGTAGTCGACACCTTCTCTATGCTTTAATGGTAAAAGTTTAGACACCACTCTATGGAGCGTTGCCTAAAAATTGTGGCACCAATGCTTAAATTTGTCTGTCTTACATTGACAAAGCGGTAATTGAAGATACTATGCAGCGCTAATTTCAAGTGCTGCTGTTAAAACAAGCGTCGCCTAATGTCGACGAAGGGTTGCCCTGTCTTTAGGCAATTTTCCCGACATGATATGGACATGGTTGAGAAGTAGCTTTCATGCGAGGAATCACAATGAACGAAACATCGTACGTCGCTCTATGTGCGAAAGCAAAGAAGCATATACCTATGTTCAATCTAAGCATATAAAGGAATTAAATGGAATATCCATTGAAATTCCATACTCGAGCTTCTTGTTCTCCCCCCCTCCACTTCGGTTTAAACGCCCCTCCATCCGAAAAGACCACGAAGTCCCACGTCGGCCACTTCAATACACATCCTATATAACAAAGCCAACTCTACATAGACAGGAACCAAAAGCACACCATCCTTCGCAAACCCTAATAGAGAGAGCCATCATCCATGGCGAGCAAGCTCGCGGTGATCCGTGCTCTCGACAATACTCGCACGCAATTGTATCACTTCACGGCGATTGCCATCGCGGGGATGGGGTTCTTCACCGATGCCTACGACCTCTTTTGCATCACCGCCATTACGAAGCTCTTGGGCCGTATCTATTACCCCGGTATAAACGGTGCGCCGGGTAAGCTCCCCCACTATATCACCAACGCGGTCACCGGCGTGGCCCTGGTCGGGACCCTGATGGGCCAGCTCTTCTTCGGGTACCTTGGCGACAAGCTTGGCCGGAAGCGGGTGTACGGTTTAACCCTAATCCTCATGGCCCTCTGCGCCATCTGCTCCGGCCTCTCCTTTGGCTCGTCGACCAAGTCCGTCATCACGACCCTGTGCTTTTTCCGGTTCTGGCTTGGCTTCGGCATCGGCGGGGACTACCCCTTGTCGGCGACTATCATGTCGGAGTACGCGAACAAGAAGACCCGCGGCGCTTTCATAGCGGCGGTCTTTGCCATGCAGGGCGTGGGGATCATCTTCGCGGGCCTCGTCTCCATGACCCTGTCGGGGCTCTTCCTCTGGTGGTTTAGAGGCGATCCGCACGACAAGCCCCCATTTTTCGTCGCTCAGCCCGAGGCAGATTTCCTATGGCGGATCGTGCTCATGATCGGCGCCTTGCCTGCTCTTCTCACCTTTTACTGGCGGATGAAGATGCCTGAGACCGGCCGTTATACGGCCCTCATCGAGGGGAACGCCAAGAAGGCCGCAGTAGACATGGGTCGAGTCCTCGAAATTGAACTTGAAGAGGAACAAGAAAAGGTGGCGCAAATCAAGGCGGCTAACGAATACAAAATATTCTCGAAGACCTTTTGGGAGAAGCACGGTCATCACCTAATAGGCACAATGAGCACTTGGTTCTTACTAGACATCGCCTTCTACAGCCAAAACTTGGCCCAAAAGGACATTTTCCCAGCAATGGGTCTCATAAAAAAGGCCAATACAATGGGTGCTCTTCGTGAAGTCTTCGTGACCTCGCGAGCCATGTTCCTGATCGCGCTGCTAGGCACATTTCCGGGTTACTGGTTCACTGTATTTTACATAGAGAAACTCGGGCGGTTCAAGATCCAGCTCATCGGTTTCTTCATGATGTCCGTCTTCATGCTCGCAATCGGGGTCAAATACAAGGAACTCAGGGACCCGAACCAGCACGAGGGATGGCTGTTCGCTATCTTGTACGGGTTGACCTTCTTCTTCGCAAACTTTGGACCGAACAGCACGACCTTCGTCTTGCCCGCGGAGCTGTTCCCCACCCGGGTGAGGTCCACATGCCATGCGATGAGCGCGGCGGCAGGGAAGGCGGGCGCTCTAGTTGGCGCCTTCGGGGTCCAGACATATACTCTGGACCAGTCGACGAACAAGATCCGCGCCGCGATGATGTTCATGGCGTTCACAAACATGCTAGGGTTTTGCTGCACGTTCTTGGTGACGGAGACCAAAGGGCGGTCCTTGGAGGAGATATCGGGCGAAGACGACGGAGAGGACCAGCCAGAGGAGGGGCATGACTACAAATAAGACGTGCAACAGCACGAGAACGCATGTTGATAAAGGGTTTGGTGTAAGAAGAGATCGATACGCATGAACCAATGCTTGGGAGGACAGCCAATAAAAGTAGCACGTATGTAAAATGGGTCTGGTCTTGTCTTATGCCGTCCTTCATGTACCCACTTCTCTATACATACACGTAATAAGAAACTCGAATGTATGGCCGTTTTGTTTGCTATGAGAGCTCAAGAAAAAGAGTGTTTTTGTCAATTTGCATCGCATCTTATTCTAGTTAGGGTTTCTTGTTTCCTCGTTTTTAACGGGTGTCGCCAGTTTTTTTAATACAAGAATAACTCACGTACGCAAGTAGTGGGCGAATTGACGCATTTGGGTCCGTCGTTGTTTTCCTTTTGGCCACCGCACGGGCTGCATGGCAACTTGTCCTACATTGTAATTGAGATAAACGTGACTCTTGGTCGTTCATGGTGATTTACGATGATCCCACAAAAAGTTGTGCGTCCATTGCTTATTGTATCCGCCCGCCTCCTATATTAGCTGTTATAGACCAGATGTAGTATACGTGCGAGTCCCTCATTTGGTCCGAGGTTCAGGACTATGGTCGGAACTCCTACGGATTTTAAGTTGTGATAGATCCATCACTTGACCAATTTCGATCACGACAGCGTCTGCAATACATCTCGCGAAGAGCTAGCAACGCGATGATCACATGATTTTCAGTCTTGTCTATGTTTTTGACAGTAAAATATGAGTGTAGTAACTCTCGAACTGTTGCCGTATGATTTTGCTTTCCTTTATATGGTTTTCAGAATACGGGCTTATTAGGTCTGTCCAATGGCAACTATTAGCCATCGGGCCTCACATGGCCTATCTTCATTTCTTCAAGCTTAGCTCAAGAAAATGAAAGTCTATATAGTCTTTGGTCCAATACTGCTCTTCTTCGTAAATGAACTGGGCCGCTCCATTAAGTCAATTTCATCTGTCGCCCATCGTCTGACTTCAGATTGGACAGACAATGTCGAAATTACAGGTGTGTAAAAGAAACCGGCCGGAGAAACCACCCAGACCAGACCGGCTAGTTCTGGGCGGTTCCGAGGCACCACTTTCATAAAATTGGAATCAATGAATTTCGGTCCGATTCCCGGCTTCTGGTGTGGAACAGCCTACCAAGACTAGACCGATTTTTTTTTAATTTTCGAATTATTTTATTTCTTAAAAATCTGTAAAAAAAAAACACTAATCTATCTCCCATTTCACAAATGGAGGCTCTTCAAGGCTGGAGCGACTAGATTTACTTATACACGTGAGTAAGATGACAAGAACAAATCAAAACACAACAGTAGTTGCTCATTCCAACTAAATTTTGCCACAAATTTTACACGTAACTCACGTATTCAAGAAACGCATTGATTATCAAGAACATCTTCGACTAATAAAAACAAAACTAAACATTACACCGATTCCATTGGCCTACTCGAGAACCTAACTAGCCCAATCGGTCGATCCGATCCAGTTCCGGGGGCACCGGTCCAGTTTCTAGGCAGGAAACCGAACCGTATAGGAACCGATCACCCCTAGATGAAACCATGAAATTGCACACCCTACACAAGCATGAATAATCAAAGTAAAATTTCTTGGCGAATCAAACTTACACTACATCACTTTTTTTTAATAAAATCTTGCCATAACTTGCACGATACCACCTTATCCACTATATGAAACGTTTGAACAATCCCAAAAGATTGATGTTACTATCATGCCGGAGGACTATGTAAACATATATGTATCGTGTGTATTGTTCGACTACTTTTACCATGCAGTTCAATCTGTCCCAATAAATTATTATGTGAAATAGATTCATTCATCTTCCCAGGCTTCAGTTGTTGTTGGAGTTGGTAGAGCCAACATTGATTCAACGAGCGACTTTTCTGCATGGCGGGACCATGGCCGATGACTCCCTCCAGATGGACAACGAGCACAGCTCACCATAGTTCCACGAAATTTAAGAAAAATATTCTGTATTCCCTAAACAAATTGCTTAATGTTTGTTTTACACAGATTATCGAATTGAATATATATATCCTATTATTCAATATTTTGGCTTAGAATCTCTCTTTGTTTTCTCCTCGCATGCATTACCCTCTTCAAGGTCATCTTTTTTCGAGCTTTGCTAGTATAACAGTTTTTGGCCTACTGTTAGAATAACAACATGTTGTAAGCCATAAATTTTTGAAGAAGTAGACCTTGCAGCAAGTTTTAATTAGTTGTTATTTATTTTTTGTGGCTTAAAAGAGGCTGTTATATTCATAGTAAATTCAGGACGATCACATAAGCATTTTCTCTTTTTTTCCTTTAATCACATCTTTCTATGTTATAATTCCTCGAGCTGATTTAGGGCCGACTTTGAGAAAATCTCGGAAACGAATTTTGGCACTTTCAAACTCCTTTTTGATCGAAAAATTATATTACGGCCAAACCATTCTAAAGCTCTTGAAATCCAAATCCCGTCTTTTTCACTCGAAAGCTTAGAGTTGCTCGGGGCAAAACCTTCGACACTCAGCTCTTCGCAAATTGCAAAATCCAGTTTATCATGCAGTATCATTGACGAGTTTAAAGATTAATAAAAGTCTTCTGGATTAACGAAGAGGATTAATGATTATGGACGACATTGATTTCTAGTAAAATCGAAGTCATCCTTAGGACACTTCTACGTCGTATCCAATCAATGAAGAAGCCCCAGTCTTTTAAAAAAGGTCAAAAAAAGAAAGAAAAAAAGAAAAGCGGGGTGCGAAAAAAGAAGCCGCCTCTCCCAAGAGCACCGTGGGCCCCCATCACCTGCAGCGTCGGTGCGCCCAAGGATGATGGACTCGCGGGCCCCCGAGCGGGGCCCACCCGCCATCATCCGTCGTCCATCGTTGTCAACGTGGAAGGTGGAGCTCCGATTGGGCGGGGTGCACCATACGCTCCCTCACGTGCTGCCCCACCTGATCGGGCCCCACCCACCCGCCCGGAGCCCAAGAAGAAAAAGGTCTTCGCATCATGCGGGAGGGCGTTGATTAGTCTTCCCCCGCCCAAAGGCCGATCCTGTGGGCCCCTCCCGGGATTCGACGGCTACCGTCTTCTTCTGGACGACGGCCCGCCGTTTGATTAGTCAACGCTCGACCGAAGTCGCTTTCGGGCTATATTAAAACATTGTTAACAATGATCGCCATTGATTAAGCATGATTTATGTGGAGCATAATACGCCTGATCTTGGGTTTGGATCCTGGGTCCCGTGACGATCTTTCCGTCCTAGCTCGATAACAAAATTGAATTTGAGTTGTCTAATTCTAGGAATCAATTGCGCGGCCACTGCTAAATGATTAATTTGGCCTAACTTTTTTTAAGAAATTTACCCAAAATATATTATAGCAAGAATCGGTTAACGGGTATTTTCCTACCGTGCCGGTTCTTTTTTTAAAAAAGAAAATCTCCGGAATTGCTTTTCATTCGCCCAAAAAGAAGGTGAGAATCGACCTTGCTGGCCCTAGCCTCTTTCCGGTCACTGGACCGGCCAAGGGAAGAAAGAAAGGAAAAAAATAAATAATTAAAAGAGAAAGAGAAAGGAAAAAAAATAAAAATAAAAAATAAAAAATTCGAAAAAAAAAAAAAAAATATTTAAAAAATTATCACGTCAACGTCGACTGGACGGCTAGCCAAAATTAGCCGGATGGATTGAACTGGCATAAATGTAAAAGGTTTAGGACTGAATTGATCAAAAAAAAATTTAAGACTGAATTATCACAACTGTAATAGGTTTAAAACTGTATTGGTAATTTTCCGCACAAATATATATAGAGATATATTTACATAAAGTTCGTGACACCTCATCGACATTTCGTCAAAAACCTAGCGGCAGAGCTTCCTAGCTTCTCGTTGCACTTGGCTCCGTCCCATGACGATTAGAGTAGTTATCGATTGCCATTGTTTCATTAGTTCCTTACCATAGTTGGAAGAAACGAACTTCAATCATCAATCAATGTACATAATGACTGCCCATGAGGAGAAGGTCGCTCGTTCCTCCTTTACGTTGAAAAAGAGGGAATTGGAGGGCTATTCCACCATAGCTAGCATTCACACATCGAGCTAGAGAGATCTAAATCGATCGACAGACTGCTGCGCAATCAATGGGTTGTCTTCCATAACACCATCAAAGTGGAAGATAACACTAGACCGAAACTGGTAAAAGCCACCGACATGGCATGGCAACATTATGGGGGGCCTCTCCCTTGTATCATCATCATCATTATTGTCCTCCTTTTGCTTTGCCGTGTCACCCAACATAGGCCGAGTTATGCACACCCCCTTTGGAATTATGATTGCTCTTGAAGGACCATTGGGTAAGAACGACATAACAGCAGCCACATCCTATAACTTAAGGAAGCCCTAAACAAAGTCGTGCTAAAGAATTCATCTTGGGTTTTGAAGTATCATGGTTGCTTATCAACACACAAATTAAATACATAAGATATATATGATTCAATTGACCCCATCAAGAATTGTGAGCAGATTTCGAAATGACAGGAGATGGCGAGTCCATACATAATATCATTATGCTATCTCTTTTCCCAAGTTTGCACGAATGTTGTCGCCTCCCATGACACGCTCGCCCATGTGTAGTGCAGTTTTGGTTTTTCTATTGTGCACCCATGTATCATGCCTTGATGTGGTAGATGATCAACCTAAAATCAGATTTGACATGTTGATTAGTATGAGTTAAGGTGTTAATCGCATTTTAGATTAGTGTGCCACGACAAGGTCATCTGGATCTATACAAGGCTTGGAACTAATTGTTAATTGCGTGACATAAAGGCGAATGAACTTTGTGTGCAGTGCATTTTAAGTTAGCTCAATCTTGGGTGATTAGCACATGGATGTAAGTACATGAGATATTTCCCGGCTTCATAGGTTTGACACTTGCTATGCAAATTATTCATTGCAAAGCATTGTAAATCACCGCCTTGCCAAATCACCACGTTAAATCAAAAACCAACTCAAGTCTTTTCACCCCCATATCAATTTACATCTTCAATTTTCAGAACCCGCAATTTGCACTTCCAGACAAAATCTAAAATTTAAAAGACTCATTTGCCCCTATTCCAATGGAAAACCACAAGAAAACACTACCCAGCACCACCTAACTAATCCAAGCTCCAGTGTA